TGTGTTTGCATTTTGTCAATCATTGTGTAGTAATAAAAATTCGCGGTTTTTTTTTCCACCTCAGTATATAATAGGCCTACATATAATATGTAATAATAATAATGAAGATCATTTCTATAGCGCCCACTCCCGTGTAAACACAGCTCTAGGCACTTTACATAAATGCATGTAAGAAAAATATTCATGCACGCGACACACTCACACACTCACACACACACACACTCATATACACACAAACACACACACATATTCACATACACACACACAAACACACGCATACACACTCACGAACACATAACACACACACATGTACACACATGTATGCCAAATACACACACACACACATACACACACACACACACACACACACACACACACACACGTACACACACACAGCTACTTGCTTATCACACGCACACGATTACACATCGTCACGAAATGAGAATAAAATAATATATACACTGCAATTCACAAAATACATAAATGGATACATAGACATTTACATAACATTGTATTGAACATGAATCTACTGATTTAAAAAGGATGTCATTAAATGTGTCTTTAAAGATTTTTTAAATTTAGACTCAGATGTTGTATGTTTCAAGGGTTGGGGAAGAGAGTTCCAAACTGATGGAGCAAGGTAGGCGAACGATCTTTCGGCTAATTTTTTACCGCCATTTCTAGGAACTCGTAAAAGATACTGGTCGCCTGATCTTAGTGATCTAGATGGAACATAAATCTGGATGAGATCACTAAGATATGAGGGAGCTTTGTTATTGACACATTTATGACATAATATTGCAATTTTATATGACATTCTAGCTGACACGGAGAGCCAATGCAACGTTCTTAACATGGGAGTAATGTGGTCCCTCTTCTTTTTCTTTAGTACAAGCCTAGCAGCATGATTTTGAAAACGTTGTAACTTGTGAAGAGAGGTATTTGGTAAGTTAGCTAGTAAAGCATTGCAATAATCGATGCGTGAAAACAAGAAAGATGACACGAGTGTTTTCAACGAGTGTTCGTTCAAAAACATAGACATATGACCAGTTCTACGCAATTCACAAAATAAAATGGTACATAAATAATTGATACGATGTTCCATTGACAATTTTGAATCAAAATTCACTCCCAGATATTTTGCTTTGTTAGTAAAATACAGTTTTTCATTTTTAGTACAAATATGATCAATGTCTACGGGGATACGGCTTTTCTTTGGGTTACATAACAGAATTTCAGTTTTATTTTCATTAAGCTGGAGTTTTTTATCAACCATCCACTTTTTGATGTCATCAATGCACAGACCCATCGTAGTAAGCAAGGTTTCAACATCTGATAGTGGAACAGATTTATATATCTGTGTATCGTCAGCGTACATGTGATAATTCATATTGTGCTTTCTAATCACAGCTCCAAGCGGCTGCGTATATAACGTATACAAGAATGGACCCAATACTGAACCTTGAGGCACTCCAAAGTCTAGCTTAAAAATTGACGAAAGAGAGTCGTGCACAACCACAGATTGTGTACGACCAATCAGGTAGGACCTAAACCAGTCAAAAACCCTGTCAGACAGTCACAACGTGTTGAACAATCGTCCAATAAGAATAGTGTGATCTATAGTGTCAAAGGCAGCACTAAGATCAAGAAGAGAAAGAATTGATATTTTGTTCTCATCTTCCTCACACAAGAGGTCGTTGTATATTTTCAATAGCGCAGTTTCTGTGTTATGAAATTGCCGATAGGCAGATTGATATAATTCATATAAATTGTTTTCTTTTAAATGATTCTTCAATTGAACCAAAACAACTTTCTCCAAAATTTTTGATAAAAAGGGAAGGTTGGAGACAGGTCTGAAATTCTTGAGCTCCTTCGGGGAAAGATTTGATTTTTTGAGAATATGTGTTAATATGTACGGGAAATAATGTAGACATAGAGAGGTTCACCCATTAATAACGAACGAGAAAGATAATGAAATGGAGGTGTAGAGATAGAAAGGAAAATACATTGGGGCAAGAGGCAGACAGACAGACAGACAGACAGACAGACAGACAGACAGACAGACAGACAGACAGACAGACCGACAGACAGACAGACAGACAGACAGACAGACAGACCGACAGACACACAGACAGACAGAAAGACAGGCAGTCAGAGGGAGAGAGGGAGACTGGGGCAGAAATAAGATAAGATAAGATAAGATACATCTTTATTGTCCAGATCCTGGCACATTGGTTCGGTGTTCCACCACGTGTACACACACACACACACACACACACAAACACACACACGCCCACACGTGCACACACATGCACACACAAGTAGGCTTACAATCACAAGCAGAATATAAATGAGCAGCAATATAAACAATAATAATTGTAAGCTAGATACACACTCAATGTTATTTTGATGCATGCTCTAAGGTCGTAAGTATATTTATACAAGATGGTTAAGATGGAAGCATTTTGATAGATGATGGTAAAAATGTCTTTCTGTGTCTTTCTTTATTACAGATCAGAAGCCTAGGTCTTTTACTTCTGACTGATGTTTTTATTTGAGGGAACAAGGGATGTTTGTTGTCTAAAAAGTTGGAATTAATTTTCTTAGTGCAAGCTGTTATGTACAATTCATCCAAGTAGGGGAATGAAGATGTTGAAATTTTACATGCTTTCCGTATTAGTCAATTTAATTCTTCTTTATCTTGTTGTCTTGTGTTCCCGGCCCATGCAGTTATACAAAAATTGATCATACTTTCTATGGTTGAATGGTAGAACATGGACATCAATGTTTTATCAACTTTAAAATACTTTAGCTTACTTAGAAAAAATAGTCTTTTGTTCACTTTTTTATGCAGGAGAGAAGTGTGGACACGCCAGTTGAGTTTGTTTTCTATTGTAACACCCAAATACTTATAGTCTGACACTTGCTCGATGCTTTCACATTTAATTTTGAGTGGCTGCAGGGGCAGTTTCTTTATTCTAAAATCAACGACAAGTTCTTTTGGGTTTTTTTCACATTTAAAAGTAGCTTATGATTTTCACACCATTCAGAAAAGTTAAGTAAAAAATTCCGGTAAGCGGTTTCGTTATGGTCAGCCTGAATTAGCCCAATTATGTTGAATCATCTGCCAATTTTATCAACTTGATGTTACTGTTGTTTATTTGGCAATCGTTCGTGTATAGTGTGAATAAAACTGGTGACAAAACACATCCTTGAGGGGCCCCTGTATTTGTTGTGATGTATGTCGATGAAGAATGTTTTAATTTTACATACTGGGTTCGGTTGGTAAGAAAATTGCCTATCCATGATATTAAATTGACGTTAACACCTATGTTTTCTAATTTCTTTGAAAGGATAGCTGGCTGGATAGTATTAACGGCTGACGAAAAATCAACAAACAGGATCCTACAGACAGTTTTAGGCTTGTCTAAGTGTCTATATATGTAGTCAAGAAATAGTAAAATGGCGTCTTCCACACTTCTCCCGTGACGACATGCAAATTGTAGAGGGTCCTGGATGGGTTCTATGTACGTTCGTAGTCTTTTTAGCACAATTTTTTCAAGACATTTTATAACTACCGATGTTAAGGCTATTGGCCTTAGGTCGTTCATTTCAGTAATTTTTTTTTCTTTGGAAGGGGGACGATTTTAGAACATTTCCAAATAGTGTGAATAGCATATGTCAACAACGACTGGTTGATAATATAGGTGTAAATAAAACTAAGTTGTGCTGAACACATTTTCAGAATTTTGGGTTGCACACCGTCTGGACCACACGCCTTTCTCACATTCACACGTCCAAACACACATCTAACCTCACGTTCTTCAACAACAACAGCATTATTTTCATTTGTATAGGTGTTCATACATGTCAAGTCACACGGACTGCCTTTGTCAAAACGGGAGAACAATGAGTAGGGGTGGTTATTGTGATGATGATGATAGGGGTGCAGACGTCTAGACAAAGAAGGGGAAGGTCAGGAAAGAGGACAGCTTGAGAACTCACGAGTAGATAGTGTTAAAACAATTCTACATATATACAATTTCTTATCGATGAAAGTCGTATAAATAAGGCCTACTAACAAGCTTAAAAAGTGAGCTTTACACTGATCATTTTATTTTTTCCAAAAGACAATATCATAAGACAAATTAACAAGGTTAGTATTTTGTATCTCCTCTCTTTATGTTGGATGCTCTAAGTAAAAACACACTGACTGTCATGTACAGCTATACGTTTTGTTCCCTTCCCATCTCATTTTGCCTTGAGTCTTCTTGAAAATATGTCTTTTTTCTACCTTGTAAAAAATTGACAGTCTAAAAAGAGAACAACTTGAGCACTCATGTAGTGATAGTGTCAAAATAAACTAAACAAAAGATTCCTTATACACGAAAATTGTAACAATTGAGGCTTTTAAACAAACTTGAAAGTAATATTATGTCTTTTTTTCTACCATACAGAAACAACGTCTGTACAATTAATTATCTCTCAAACAGGTTTCATTCTAATCCGGTAAAACCAGGCCTTCACTGTCGATCCTTTTCGTCAGCGGTACTCAGAAAATACATTCATAAATTAAAAATTGTTAGAAAGTTAGTTGCGTTCTCTGTACACACTTACAATTCATAAATGAGAAGTATTAGCTAGCCTAGCAAAAGAACAACAACAACCAAAACGAAAAGTACTTTCCTAAATAACACCAAACAATATTTTAAATGCATACACATGCTGACTAAAAGAAGCTGCACTAACCGGGCAATGTTATCGTTAATAAACTGTATTCCTTTGAAAAGAGGACTGTCAAGAAATGTAAATATTTTATGCCGTCATTTCTTGCAGTAAATATTAAGCCTTTCTCTAAATTGAAATTTCGCAAAGACTTGACGAAATAATACGGTTTTTTGTTTTCATGTAAATCTACTTTTTAAATTGAAATGTAAACATTCAAAAGGACTGAAATAAAACTAAATACCTTTCTTGTACAGGTCAACAAATAAGTAACTAAAAACAAACCCCTAAAACTTGAATGGAAAAGTCTCTTTCCCTGGGGTTCTTTTTTCATAAACAGAATCTAAAACGGTAATAAGTTAATTCATATAATATGCTCTTTGTCTCCAGATGATCAAGCTAGCAATTTTTGCCCTCGCTGTTGTCGTGGCATCAGCCCACACAGACGCCAACTGGCTCATCTTTAAATCCAAGTATAACAAGGACTACAGGTACTTCGTTAAAAAATAAAAACTATATTTTATTTAATTTTAACCGCCTGTTCCATTAAGCGCGTATTTAACTCATTTTGTTAATAAAACTCGCTTTTGAATTTTGTAAATTAAAGTAACAGTAACTTACTATTTCGGGCGTTTCTCTGGCTTATCGTCTTTCCTCTTACCCCACCTCTTCACCCTTCAAAGATTAATTCTTTCCAAATCCATTTATCCATCTCCCTCTTTTTCCCTATATCTATCCATTTTCCCCTCAACAAATCTTTCTATCTCTGCCGTTACGCCTCTCTCTCTCTCTCTCTCTCTCTCTCTCTCTCTCTCTCTCTCTCTCTCTCTCTCTCTCTCTCTCTCTCTCTCTCTGTCTCTCTCTCTCTCTGTCTCTGTCTCTCTCTCTCTCACTGTCTCTCTTTTTTCTTTTCCTCTCTCTCTCTCTCACACACACACACACACACACACACACACACACACACACACACACACACACACACACACAGAGAGAGAGAGAGAGAGAGAGAGAGAGAGAGAGAGAGAGAGAGAGAGAGAGAGAGAGAGAGAATCACCTACTCACTCATGTATTTACCTGCTTGTCAACTCATTAACTCAAAAACTCCTTTTGTCTCTCGATCCCTCCACAGTGGAGAAGAAGACATCATCCGTCGCTTCGTGTGGCAGTCCAACCTGAAAAAGATTGAGGAACACAATGAACTGTATGCCCAAGGACTCAAGAGCTACTACCTGGGAGAGAACAAATACGCTGATATGGTCAGTCTTCAGAATCATGGATATGCTCAACACTAATCTTCTCTTAATCGTGTTTAATAGAGGTACCCCATCCCTACCCAATGTATGCACAAACCATTATTTCTGGTTCTCCTAACTGTAATCCCTTAATGTAAAAGTGGGAAAGGCTTTTGGAAACGCGACTTTAAGAAGTAAGCCGTAGTGCTGCGCCAATCATTGATATCTTCAGTAGGTTGCTGTCGCCAAGCGAATACAAAATATGAACAGCATAGGAAAGATTGGAGTTCATAATCCTCGAGTGTTCCCTGTTTTTTAGCGTCCAGCCTGGATTAATCAATTGAACTAACGTCTCAACCCTGCACATTTACGACTGACAGTGTACGTACTCTCCTACTGACATGACAAACCTCATATCTCGTAGAGCGTTCAACTTTACAAAAGAGCTCTAACGGTTTTCTGTCTTCATCCCTAGACCAACGATGAGTTCAACAGGGTAATGAACGGCATGAACGTACACAAGGAGCCAGGGAAATACGTGAGTGGCCAGTACAAGGCTTACCTGCCCGCCTCTGTGGACTGGAGGAAAAAAGGATACGTCACACGTAAGAATGAGTACAATAACTGGATGTGTTTGTGTGTAGGGGCATTGGTACTATAATATGTAGGTATCTAAGTACTCTGTCAGGTTGTCCATGTGTGTATGTGTATGCATATGTGCATGTGTTTGTGTATGAGAATGAGCATGAGTATGTGTATGTGCATGTGCATGTGCATATGCAGGTGTATATGTAAGTGTTTGTTTATGTGCAGGTGTATGTGTATGTTTGTTTTGGGCTTCTTAATGAATATAATATAAATATTTAAAAAACATTTTTTTAAATGCGAAAAAATAAGGACAAGAAATTGAATGTAATACTAATTTACCTTGTACTCCTTTCCATCCCTTTCCTTCCGTCCCCGGCCCCTTTCAAGAATAGGTCAAATTAAAATACAAAATTCGATTCATTTCAGAACACCCACATAATCATGTCCTTGTTTTGTTCAGCTATTAAAGACCAGGGACAGTGTGGATCATGCTGGGCTTTCTCCGTCACTGGCAGTCTCGAGGGTCAACATTTTAATACCACCGGAAAACTGGTCAGCCTTTCCGAGTCTAACTTGATCGACTGTTCACAAAAATGGGGTATGTTTATGATTTTGTTTTCCTCATATCCACCTACAAATCTCTGTTGATTAATATTTTCTTCTTCTTTTTCTTCTTCTTCTTCTTCTTCTTCTTCTTCTTCTTCTTCTTCTTCTTCTTCTTCTTCTTCTTCTTCTTCTTCTTCTTCTTCTTCTTCTA